CTCCATACTGTCTTCCATAGTGGCTGCACCAGTCTGCATTCCCACCAGCAGTGCACAAGTGTTCCTTTTCCTCCACATCCTCGCTAGCACCTGTCGTTTGTTGATTTGTTGATAGCAGAAGTTTTTTTTAAAAAAATATTTGTATTGATTTCAGAGAGGAAGGGAGAAGGAGAGAGACAGAAACATCAATGATGACAGAGATTCATTGATCAGCTGCCTCCCACATGCCCCCTATTGGGCATTGAGCCCACAATCTGAGCATGTGCCCTGACCCAGAATCAAACCTCAACCTCCTGGTTCAATCACTGAGCTATGCTGGCTGGGCAAAACTTTTTTAATCCTCACCCAAGGATGTATTTATTGATTTGAGAGAGAGAGGAAAGGAGAGAGAGAGAGAGAGAGAGAGAGAGAGAAACATCAATCTGTTGCCTCTCATACATGCCTTGACCAGGAAATCGAACCCATAATCTTTTGGTGTATAGGACGACACTCCAACCAACTGTGCCTTGACCAGGAAATCAAACCCACAATCCTTTGATGTATAGGATGACACTCCAACCAACTGAGCCACCCGGCCATTCCAGAACACTTTCAATACCCCCAAATTTTCCTCTTGCCTGGTTTCATGCTGTCTCAGTCCCACACCTGGCCCCAGCACCCAGTGGTCTGCTTTCTGTCACTACAGTTTTGCCTTTTCTAGAATCTTTACTACAAATGAAGATACAGTCTATATCTTTTGTTTCTGGGTGCCTTTTCCTTAGCATAATGCTTCTGAGGTTCATCTGCGTTATTATGTCAGATGTGGTTTTGAAGGTGCTCAGTACATTACTTAAAATAACTATATGTCTAACTAAATGAAAGTGGCCCGTGAGTGAACTAATGACGCCTGAAACAATGATGAGAGTATGTCATGGGCTGAGGATTATAATTTACCTAGTTCCATTGCCTGAAAGAGAGAATAAGAACGAGAGAGAGGTGGGTGAAGGGCAGATTCTGTAGGGTTTATTTTCCGGTCGGTAATAAGGAGTTGGGTCTTTATTTTCAGCATAAGGAGCAAGCCATGGGGGAGGGGGAGAGGGACTGATTAAGTGGGGGAAGGACCTGGGATCTCATTTATACTTTCAAAAACTCTCTTCCTGGGTGCTGCGTGAAGGATTGTGGGTGAGAAAGAAGGGGACCAGCTGGAGCTATTTAGGGGGTGAGCAAATGTGAGGGGGCGGGGCTTGGCCTTGGGCAGTAGCGATGGAAACAGATAGGGGTGGGATCTGGGCGTGTTTGGAGATAGAGCAATACCTCCGTGACCGTGAAGCACAGTGCCTGGCACAAAGTCAGTGAATTTAGTCCACGTTCATTTGTGGAAAAGACAGCACATCCTTGGCTGTTGCAAGCAGCCCCCCAGCCCAGGGCCAACACATTGATGGTGCTCAATAAACACTTGCTAAATAAGGCAAAGAGGCTCTGCAGGCTTTCCTGAGTCCCCCCTCAACACCCAGTGCTCTAAGAATGGCCAGGCTCCTTCCTGCTCGTGCTCCTGACCCAGCGTAGAGCCCTCCTCTGGGGCTCCTGCATTCTGGAAGGTTCTGGAAGCCGGGAGGAGGGCAAGGCTGAGCTGCTTTGGATGGATCCCCAAGGCGGAACGTCAGGCATCAGCTGGGCAGGTTTTCTCTCAGAAGGTCACCCCCTCCCGTGACACCCTCAGTGACGTCTGCACCCCAATACCCAGGGCTCATGGAAAATGTGTGGACACAACAGAAGCAGCTGTGAAAATCCTTCAAACTGTGATAAAAATAGCTGTGCCTCCCCGTACCACCTGTTCCCTACGGGCCTGGACATGTTTGTTTGCCCAGCTTTAAAGCTCTGAGTGATTTCTCAGGCCCTGGGCTGAGGAAGAAAGAGGGAGGAGGGGGCAAGCTGTGGGAAGGTGGGAGGCAGGTCAGATACTTCAGATTCCACTGAAGAATGGCGAAACAGAGCCTAAAATGACCTAATGATCTAGTCCGTCTCTTCTGTCTGAAAAATAGGGGCATCAAGACCCAGAGAACTGTGAGGTCTGGCTTAAGGCCCCCTGATTTGTCGCTGCCTGGCCTGGCAGAAGGTAACCCACAGGCACCCCCCAACTTCACACCATAAGCTGTCCCAGCCTTTATCCAGGCCGCCTGGAGCAGGTCCTGGCCTCTGTGGGCTCTGCAGACAGACATGCGGCCACCCTGGCCCTCTGTCCTCCAGGACCACTGTCCCATCACAATCTGTTGGGTCATTTCACCTCCAGGTCTGTGGACATAGTCGGCTGCAGTGCTGACTTACCCTCTGGGGGTTCCCTGGCCAAGGAGCAGATGGAGCAAAATCCCTGGAGGTGAACCTCTTCCCAACCCCTGGGAAGAGGGTGCTGACCAGGAAGCTGGAGGGGCCAGCTCTACCATAGGCGCAGCCTGAAACACTACAATCCACGCCCTGAGTGGGCGGTGGAAGTCAGGGTGGGGAGAGTACGGGGAATTAGGAAGTAGGTATGGGGAGGGGAGGGAGAGTGGGGCGGTTGGGGAGCCTTTTTCTTGGGGAGTTCTTTCATTTCTAGTTCCCACCTGATGGGAAGTTCCATGAGGATAAAACTTTCTCGTATTCACCTTTGAATTCCCAGTGCCTAGAAGGGGCCTGGCACACAGTA